CATCTCGGCATCCCGCCGCTCCTGTCCTCCGGGGCGAGAAAAGCCCCGTTCATAACTGCGGCTCCGACATAAGTCGGATCCGTGTAACTCGGGGACTGCCTGTATTTACATTGGCAGAAATTCTTTCAGGAGATAACAGCAAAAGACAACCTGAGAGATATGAAAAAATTAGGAATGTAAAATGCTGGTTAAAAAGTTAAGCGGATAAATTGAATGTGCCTGCCATGCCACAGGCTGCTCTGGCTTGGCTGGGCCAAGCCTGCTGTATTGCACCATGGGCGGAGACTGTTCTGCCTAGGCCGATCCTTGCACCGGTTAACCAGTTACCCTTGTAAGCATGCTGGTAAGGATCATGCTTACTGGGTAACTGGTTAACCCTTTACATCCCTAGGATGGATAGAGACAAATCAGGAATGGAACACTAGATTTGCGAGTCATTGGCATAAAGAGGATGTTTGAAGCCTTGTGAGCTTGTTAGATCACTGGGATTTTATCGGCATAAAAATTGGGAAGTTAAAAGTTATGGTTCCCACAAGAACTCTGACTCACTTAATTAGAGATGAGCTCAAGCTGCAGAATTTGCATCTGTAGCCAAGTTCTGACCTTCTGAAAACCTAAGGGGATTGTGTTCCAGCCTTTATGGCATAGGCAGGGTACTGATGCAAAAGTCAGATTGATTCTGAAATTTCCGAAACCACAGGGTTTGGTTTTGGGCTCATCCTTTTCTACACTAGACATATGTATAATAATAATAATAATAAAATCATGTATAGTTACAACCCCCCATATGGCCCAGAGGACCAAATTATAGTTAATCTGGGCACAATCACTTGATTTTTTAATCTTGAATCTTACAAAGTAGGTTTCCACTCTACTGTTTTGTTCCACTTTCACTTGAGAAACCTTATTAAAAATTCCACTATTTTAATAATTTTATACGTTTATTTAATTTTTGAAATGTGTTTTGTTATTGGGGGCTGTGGGGATCTATGCATGTGGAGCAGGTATGTGCTGCATCATTACCAAAAGTCAAACTGAAACAAAAATAACTGGAGAATGAATGCAAAAACCCAGACATAGCAAATTAACAGTTAATTTATGCCAACACTCTTACAAAGAAAAGAAGCCTAAAACTGACTGATCTTCAAACTTGGAAGGAAATGATTCACTTTACCATGTGGATCTGCTTGGGTGAGTAGATTCACATTAAAGCATCTCTGTGGCATGTGTCCATTCCAGATCTTCACATTTTTCCTTGTTCTTTGACAGTTGGCCCATTCAATTGTGTCAATGAACGTGATTCAGCCGCTGACCCTCTTGATTTGTTCCACATCTTGGAAAGGAAATTCTGGGCCACGCTGATTGACAGCAGTTAAGGATCTGGTCTGTGGGCTCTAGCCATCCACAGATCTGTAAAACAATGAAGGGCCTGAGTCTCCTGTCATTTTATGATGGAAATCAGAAGAAACTCCGCAGAGTTGCACCGGTGTAAAACTAGTGCGTGGCCCAAGAGAACCAGATCTCGGGAACGCAGCTCTCATTCGCTGCAAGTCTGGGCGAGTGCTGCCTCTTGCAGAGATTTGGGGCACACGCGGTTTCCTCGGCTACACAGAGAGGGGCAAATAACATCATTGTGCAACCTGAGCGGCAGGTAGAAAAGGAGGGAATGAACGACGAGTTGGCAGCAGCCAGATCAGTCAGGCGAGCAGAGCAGAGGTCTCGCGTCTCCTCCCTCCTTGAGCTGCAGGTTACATCAGAGAGAGATGCCAGCGTGCGAGCTTGCCTGGATTGTATGGGCTCGTCTGCTCTGTTAATGATCAGCTGCAAAAGACACCCTCCCGGAGCCAGTGCGTTAGCACCGCCTCCCGCCCCCTTTCCCTCTGTCTGCTC